GATTTATGCATACTCTAGACACAAAGAAGTGATGCAGGATTTAGGCAAAATTGGGGGTGGTGGACTAATAGCCAGAGACGAACCAATGTGTCTTATCTGTTTCAGAGAACTTCATACTCGGCGCTTTATTATGCATTTATTTTGTGAATCAAGAAACACTCAAAGGCAATCTTAGTAGTCTCAGATAATAGGATGCGTTTAAATTGATTTGGTCTACATGTAAAAACTGCAACCTAATCAAATTTTTTGACAACCATTAATGTGCAGAATGGTGTGCTTTTATGTTATTGTTTTGCTTGTTAGATGAAATATGGTTTTGACATTTTATGAATCCTTGGAATGTGTTTTCTCAGGCACTCACTTATTATCCCAAAACGCCATTTTTCTTCTTTGGAGGCAACTCCTCCAGAAGTAAGTGCCTCTTGTCAAATGCTATACTTTGTCTCTTTATCCTAATAGAAAATAGTAGAAAATTTCATAATCTTAACGGGTGTTGAGTCCTTTTCATTACAGGGTATAATTGGATCGTGCAACTAGTTACACTGATCGAATGACCATATTGTGCAGGTTGTAGGCGCTATGTGTTCTAAAGTACCTTTCATTAGCAAAGCTGTAAAGAAGGCCACTGGTTGTGGTATGTATTTCTTGTCTACATCATTTTTTGTTATCAGCAGGTAGGGGTGGTTCTGACAGGGGTTGAGTTCATCTAGTCCCCTTGCTTGTTTGGTTGCATTGGAAGGCCTTGCCTTCTGATGATTAAGTATGATTTGTCTGTCTGTGCTACCTTTTTGATAGACTATTTTTACCTCTTGTTCCCCATATATAAGCATCTTTTTGCAAGTGGAGTTTGGGATTGGGGTTGACAGAACCTACTGTGGATAACTTAAAGGAGTTGTTGACTCCCAAAGTTCGTACTTCGTAGGCTTCCTGTAAGTTAGAGAAGTGACAACTTTAGGGATTTGTTGAGAATGATGCAAGACAAACCTTTAACAAAAAAAAAAAAAAAGAGGATGAGTTCTGCTTCACTTGACACAAGTTACTGCTGCTGTTTTTGATTCAAGCAGATGGTGGATTTGGATGTCTTTTAGCAATAAAATAACCATCATGATATACTATTAAATTTTGAACATTTAAAGTATATGATGATTGCCAAAGTTTTGCCTGCGTTGCTTCGGTAATTCGATAGCGAGGACAATGTTTGAAGTGTTGCAGTCGCTGGTGTCCCCAGAGCATAGCTAATTCTGTTGTCTTCCCGAGGAATCTAATAATGTCTTTTTAGATGTACTACTTTATCTGTAATGGGCTAGTGAAATTGTTATATATTTTTATTGCTGTCCACCATCATCTTAGAAGGTTTATTGATGGAGAGTTCATACTGTAGATTCATTTAATCTGTTAGTTAACAACGGCGCTGCAGCTGGCCAAGTCATATTTCATGTAAGTTTCTGGGACTTTGTTTGAACTGGATGTATGGCTTGTTTGACTGGAATGGGGGTATTGAACTGATGGATGAAACACTTTGTGGTTGCGTTTTCAGACTCACATTCACATAATTCCTCGCAAGGCAAGTGACTGCTTATGGGCTTCTGAGGTACGTCCTTTCCGCCTTGTGCTTTTCTGTTACCTTGAGCTGACTGGAAAATGATCGGTGAATATGGCCGATCATGTCAGAGTTTGAGAAGGCGGAAATTGAAGTTAGATCAGGAAGCTTTGCGACTGGCACGTAGCATCCGCGATAGATTACAGTTTGTGGAGAGTTTTGATGAAAGCAAGGGACAAGGGTCCAGTCTCCTGGGGAGCTAGAAGGAGAATTGATTGTCTGGTTTGTTGTAGTAGTAGTATATTTGATAGCGCAGATGTCTTCTTTCATCAGTTTTGCGCTGTGGTGCCGAAGTACATTACGGTCAATTTACAGCTTCATCTTGTTTGCAGGAACTGCTCTACTCTCTCTCTCTCTCTCCCTGTTCTTTTCAAGTGGATCAATCATGCTAGATACTTAATAATAAAAACTTACACATCAGCCCCGAAAATTTAACGGTCAAGTTCAACGCTGCATGTCGAGATACAGATTTGTTTGGATTGCAGGAAAATTTTTATGTTTTTGATAAATATAATATTTTTCAGAATCGATGATGCGGAAACATACCTTTACGAAAATAGCAATCCAAATGGTCTTTAAATAAATAAATCTTGCGAGAGCAGCACGCGGAACGGAAGGAGGAAAGAAGTCGCCCTGGCATTTATGTCAGAATTTGCATTGCACTGAAAGTTCTCCAGCCGCTTTTCTAAGCAAAATGAAAACCTATTCGCTCTATAAAGGGAAGGCATGCGGATATGATTCTTTTATCCATACGCTCCCGGACCCTATTTTTCCTAGTTAAGAAGTTGTATCATCAAGGCCTTGTAAATTTATTCTGGGAAGCCCCTCCAAAACCATCGTCATATCATCATCCTGGAGGAGGATAAACCTTGAAGAAGATGGCCAAAAACATATTGGGAGGTAACACGCATTTTCTAAATTCTAATCTCTCTCTCTCTCTCTTAGTTTTTAATTATGTGTATATTTAAATTTTTTCCAGCAATTCATTTTTTTTCCCCTTGATTTCGTATAAATCCTTTCGTTTTTTGAGAACTAACCAGAAAATGAAAACGAAAACGAGGCCTGAAAAGAAGATTCGCTCTTTAGTTTTTTCCCCAGTCACATCCAAACGAGGCCTGCACTGGTCAACTAGAGATCTTTAGTCCACTCTCCTCTCCGGTTACTGAGAAATTACCCATTCTCTTCCGCGAACTAGAGAACCCGAACTAACATTTGAGGCAAATTCTAGAACCATCCAATCAAAACCCGGGTCTGACGTAACCGCCTCCACGACTGCCCATAGAAATGTCTGAAGGCAGTTTTGAGCCCCATCCACTCTTTTATTTATTTATTTATTTTTTTTTTGGACTCTTCGCTCTTTATTTTGATGTGTTGATGTATACATTTTTCAAAGTTCAAATGCACGAGATTTAAGTAAAAATATTAAAGTTTAAAGTAGCACTATGCTTTGTTCGAATATTTTATTTTTTTAAATAATATTTTATTTGTATTATAAATATATTTTTATATTTTAAATTATTTTTTTATTTGACATATATCATATTATAAAATATATTATAATAATTATTTTAAATAATATTCTATCTAAACAAAATTATGAACACAGTCCTTGTTATGGCTAATTCCTTAAAATATACGTATAAAAAAAAATTATCCGTCAAGTGCACGTCTGACTGAGGGGCTTTCTTATTCTATACGGGCCGTGCTGACTCAGCACGGCCGAATTACAAAAAAATCTATCCGGTCAACATCTAGTTTAGGCTGAGCATTTGTGTCAGCGGACGTGCTGACTGGGCACGTCCGCACCTGACACAAATATCAGGTGCGGACGTGCCCAGTCAGCACGTCCGCTGACACAAAGGTCTATCGGATAACATTAAAAAAAAAAAAAGTTTTAGGCTTTAGGATTTTTAGAGTTAGGGTACTTTAATTTTCAAATTAACCTGATTAAACTAAATTTTAACCGTAATCCTAAATATACTTCATTTCATTAATATTTAAAATAAATACATTAACCTAACCTCATGATTCATGTCCCTAGATGCCTTTTCCACATGTATTATTATTAAATCATTATTAAATGCATAATAGTTGTTAATTAACGAACGATTCATGTATTCTAATAAACAGGAATTAATTATTATAATCACTTTGTGATTGTGATTGGCATACATAATAATACAACCAATTCGGATAATTATTTTTTCGAGACAACGTTTTTGCATCTATATTTTTATTATATTTTAACTACATTTTTAACTATATTTTGGATAATTATTTTAACTATATTTTTACCTTGCACGCAACATATATGATATCTTACAAAAGTCCTACTACGTACATGAATTATTCATCTACATCAATATCAATCCAAAAATTTTTTTATTAATATTTGCAGATTACTTCATTTTTTTATGCAATCCAAAAAATTCTTATGTTTAGTTAATTAATATATTTTATGCATGTAAAAAGCAATAATTTTAATTAGTTATTTCTAGTATTTCTATATGAATTATATTACATAGTAATTCGCCAAAAATTATACGATTAAACAATAAGTCGTAGTCGACAACACTATTTCACTATATACACTAGTTAACTCTTTTTTAACACTTCAATATTGTAAAATTATAAATAAATTATCACACTTTACATTAACTATTAATTAATAAACTATAACAACAACACACAATGCAGAAAACAAGTTTAATTAATGTCATTTGATGACAGTATAATATAACATGTAAATACATAAATAATTAACATAATATAAATAATTAACATAATTATTTAACATGTTTAATTAACATAATATAAATAACTAATATAATTACTTAACATGTTTAATTAACATAATATAAATAATGTAATTAATAAATGCTGTAATAATAATTTAAATTACTAACCTGTATGAATCCGAAGCCAAACTGAAGGAACGAATGCAAGCAGAGGAGGAGCTGCTATGATATACATGAGACAGAGAAAGCGAGAGATTGAGGGACGTGCTGACAGGTTTGTGTCAGGTGCGGACGTGCCCAGTCAGCACGTCCGCTGACACAAATGCTCAGTTCAAATTGGATGTTGACCGGATAGATTTTTTGTGATTCGGCCGTGCTGACTCAGCACGGCCCGTATAGAATAAGAAAGCCCTCAGTCAAACGTGCATTTGACGGATAATTTTTTTTTATACGTATATTTTAAGGAATTAGCCCCTTGTTATCTCGTATTTTAATCAAAGTTCTCAATAGAAAAAAGCTTATTGTATTGCTAGTACTGGATTTATTTAAATTATGAAATTATTCTAAATAATATTTCATTTGAATCATAAATATATTTTTTAATTTTATATTTTCAATCAATTTTTTATCTCACGTCCCATCGCATCACATCACGATACATCCAAGGGCACGGTACTGTAGTAGTTTTCATGGGGCCGGTTCGGTGGAAAACCAGTAGTGATAGAGGATTTGCAGCAGTAAACGGGAAGGGGGTCTGTATTCCTCTGTCTCTTTCGTTCTATTCCACATACATGTCCTCTTCCAGTCCCATCCTCCCTAAGTCAGGTAGCTGAAATTTGGAAGCATCGTGAAACTTCGCGAGATTAGTAAAATTTCAACACTCTTCGGTTCTAATAAAATTTTTGGTTTCATTTCCTCCCCCTTCCAAATATTTACTTCCTAATTTTTGCCCCAACTCTTCCGTCCCAAACGTACAACACAATTTTTTTGGGCGTCGCGAGCGAACAGGCATCACAGACGCTTGTACCCAGCAAAGAATTTCGAGATTTTGCTGTTAAAGAAATTAATTTTGAGATAGATAAAAGATAAATTTTCGATTACAGGTTTGCACAGAATTTTCAAAAAAGAGGGTAAAATGTCTCCCACGGTGGCTGCCGCCGCGGCCGCGGCCGCTATGGATGCCGCAGCGGTGGCCAAACAAGCGGAACAGCTCCGGCAAGAAGGCAACTTTTGCTTCAAGAAAGATCGATTTGGTGCTGCCATCGATGCTTATACTGAGGTAAACCCACCTTTCTGTATTCCACGCGCATGAATTTACACTTATACAAATGTATACATAACCCCGGCACTGCCCTTTCTTTTATTTTTCATTTTCCCCCTTCTTTTGGATGGTTATTTAGGCGATTGCATTGTGCCCTAATGTGGGCATATATTGGACAAATCGTGCCTTGTGTCATCGGAGGCGCAAGTATGTACTTCCCCTATTAGTAGTGTTTGGGATTCCTAGTTCATTTTGTCGTTTCAATTTGTGGTGGTTATGAGGATGATGATGTGGTTACTGGTGATTTGACATATGAATTTGTAGTGATTGGAAAAGGGTGGAGGAAGATTGTAAAAGAGCTATTCAGATCGATCACCATTCTGTCAAGGTCTGTGGACTAGTTTTTTTCAGTAAAGATATGATTTTGTCGCCAACCTTTGTTATACCATTTTTGTTTTGCATTCTTTTGGAATTCATGCTTGTTACGTGTTGACGCTGCAAGTTTTCCGACATCTTTTATCGAGAGTAGAAAAATCATGCTGCTTGTGTCTTTGCCAAATGTTTGTGATTAATTAGCTCGGTGTTTGTTAGGAACATCGCAGGGATTTGTACTGTTTAACGTGTGACTTTCATCAGCATCTTGGCATTTAGGATTTTAAGGGCTTTTATTCTGTCGCGGACTGTGACGTTATTGATTTGAGTCAATCTGTTCATATCTACCCTAAAGTGATCTCAACATTTAATATGATGTCGGTTCCCCAATTTGTCAAAATAGATTGCCAATATGTACAGACTCTTTCTTAATGACTGTAAAAGAAATCTTCTACCGGGCAAATACATGCAAGTTCACCAGGCATTTGTTAGATGCCCTAAAAGTTGATTTATCCTCATGCAGTTAAGAGTGGATAGGAAAGCTGTCATATGCAGTAGTTTCTTCGTTAATTATGTTGCTATGATTGTGCTGTTGTGAAGAGGTGCCAGCAACCAAAAGGCTTGGATTAAAGAGTTTCTTAAAAAGCTGACTCATGTTGTCATCAATTTTCATGTCACTACTGTTACTATATCTGGAATCCTGCTCATGAGATTTTTTTTTTCTCGACAAATTTGTTCTGTTAAAGATATTTGATTGTCAATTTGCGTGTCTTTTTGATAATTTGTTGTTTGGTGTTGTACATGGTGTTATGTTTTGAGCCACCTGTGGCACTATCAGTGATCTTCTGAGGTATGGGCACCTTGGGTAGTATTTTTGTATTTTGAGTAAAGGGTCACTAATTCAAAAAGCAGTCACAGTAGTCTCTTTGCTTAAAGGCACAAGCGGTACAAAGCTTTTCGATAAGCAGGCTGCAATTTGTCAAGTCGCGTTTACTATTTTCATTTTATGCTTTTATTTAACTCAGTATAGAGTTGATCAGCTACTCAATCAGGGACCTATGTACTGCTCAAATTTGGTTTCTAGTGGTATGTTTGACAGCTGGGCTTTCTTTTTTTATTTTTTTTAGGGGGGGGGTGATGAAGTAGTTGTGATGACAATATAACCTTGTGTTAAGAATTTTGTGGCTTATTGTTCTTTTTGAGATACTTGTCTTCTAGTCGCTGAATAGCTGCTTTTTCTGGGAACATTTATGTTGCTTCCAAAGATAGCATATTTGTAAAATCCACATCCTATGTAGAAATTCATTGCACGAATTGAAATGTTAGTATTCCAATGTCTTTGAAGTTCTCATATACAGCTATCTAACAGGGAATGCTTTCTGGCTTTATAGGCCCATTACATGCTAGGTCTTGCTTTGCTGCAAAGAGAAGAGTATGCTGAAGGGGTCAAGGAACTAGAAAAGGTATTTGTTTCTTTGGGTCATACACATAAGTTTGTTACTCCTTAGCACGTATTTTATTATTGTTTATTGTTCTGTACATAAATCTACTTGTCTAATGCGTCTTCAGCAGTGTGGCATTTGTTGGGTATGTATATCCATATCTAGCAAACAGAACTTTTTTGCAACTGTGCTTTTTAGATTTTCTGGATAGGATGAGGGGTTCTTCTGCTTCTGTTTCTTCTTCATCATTCCATTTTTTCCCCTTTTTCCTTTTGGGTGTGTGTGGGGTCGGGCAAGGTTGGTTTGGGGGTGGAAGGCTGGTTATATCATTTATTGAGTTATAGGAGACTAATTTTTTGTTAAACAGAATGGGTTGCTTTCACTTGATTGAAGTTTTAAAGATGATTTGCTCAACTGAGGCATTGTTAGAAGTCTTACATCTTTCGTGGTATGCATCCCTTGGCTTGTCCTCTTGTTGGCTGTTCATTGCTTGTGCTATATATCTGACAGCTTGTATATTACCCTGCCAAGGCAGTGAAAAAAAAACCTCCCTGTCTTCTTCCCCACTTCTTTCTTACTCAAACCACAATGGAAACAGAATGCTTATGTCTTAAATATTGCTTTCTTCCTTTGAGAGATGAAGTCATTATAAATGATAGTTCAACACAGTATCGATAAAAAATTACCTTCAGTCTTGCTCTTAATCATTTTTTTCTTAACCTTCTTTTCTCAAAACATTAAAATTTTTTTTCCATTGTTTTGGGGCTTCATTTTATTCTCTCTCACCTTTGAGGACATCTGGTGTAACTAGGAACGTTATACGCCATTAATCTAGAATTGTATAATCTTTTTAGACCTTAAATAGTTTTTCTTGGTCTTCAACTCGATCTCGATTCCTGATACTCTAATGGTGCTTTGTAGTTCCAAGTCACACCTAGTTGCCAACTTCTTTTTCTATTGTCCAGTATTTGATGTTAATAAGTAGACTATAATTTGGTCAACCTGTGGCCAATGGACGTTAATGGTTTTACTTTTCACTTCTTTCTTCTTTTCCTTTGTCTTTGACTAAGCCTTTTGACTAAAGGGGAAAGGTTGGGGGGAGTTGCAATACTTAGTCAAACATGCATGGTGCATAATGTATTGGCTAATGAAGTCTGGGATGAGTTGAAATTATGTTTTATGACTTATATATTGTTGACTTTGTGAAGCTATAAGAATGGCAAGACCAACTGCTATTTTTTAGAATTGAATTTGTGTTTCTTATTTTGGTATATGAGAAGCTTAAAGTATGCTTTGGTAAAATGTCATTTTCTTGTGCTCCAGAAATGCTCTTCACACTGTTTTTGTTACCTACCTACGCCATCTTTAACTATTCACATCATACCTCGAAGCACACTCATTAAGTGTGCCACTTGTGATGCATTAGTTTGTGAAGCCCTTCATTGAGTAGTTTCCATTGGCCATTTGTGTAGTAGAATTGGGCTTCAACATCAAAGTTTCTTAAATACCATTTGCCTTCCTGCACTCTTGAAGTTGGTGAACCCAGGATCATTATGTTCATTGGCTAGTCTACCCTGGCTACTAGGCAGCTGCATGATCTGCCTAGGTTTAGTTGGCAATATTTCAATCTTGTATAATGAGTGGCACCCTTGGATACTTCCAAGCTGTAATCCAGATGATGATATGTGAAAATGTACAAAAGTGCATAGATAATGAGAAATTCCAAGATAGGATATCTCCAGCTACTGATCTGCGAACTTATGCTGGCAGCACAGAATTGTTCTTTTAATTCTTGATCTTTTCCTTATGTTATAGACATACAAACCATCTTCTTTGAGGGGTATCTGAATATATGCATATTGAGATGTATATGTTGATACTAGAAAACTAGAAAACTTGTATTTAGTGTGGCATTTAACTGGCATCTTAAGTTGTTCTATTCTATGCATGCTGACTTAAAGCTTCTGAAAGGAAATTGACTCTGAAAGTGCGTAGTAAGTCCCAACTGAATTACTTTTTAGGCGTTGGATTTCGGAAGGGGTGCTAACCCGAAAGGTTACATGGTAGAGGAAATCTGGCTGGAGCTTGCAAAAGCAAAATACTTGGAGTGGGAGCATGAATCCACCAATCGTTCTTGGGAACTTCAAAGTTTGAAGTAAGTGATCTTTTGTGATTTTGTTTGTTATTGTTATGATTGGCGTTGATAGTGTTCTATTATTTAATTGGTTCATTTGCGGGTAAAGTTTTCATTTTCATTATCTGCTGTTTATTGTGTCTCAGAGAAACTTGTGAAGAAGCTCTCAAGGAGAAAAATTTACTGGATTCTTCTAATGCCAATGGTTATTTTGATGGAGATACAAAGTCCAATACCGAGCAACTGGAAGCATTAAGTAGGGTTTTCTACAAAGCTGCAGAAGATGATATACCAACCGAGGTAATTATTTCTTACAATCCATTTCTTTGTGGACTACTACTACTACTCCTGTTCTTCATTGGTCACATTCGACTTCTGTTCTGTTAACACTTGAGGATTCAGGTGCCAGATTATCTTTGTTGTAAAATTACGCTTGACATTTTTCGTGATCCTGTCATCGCTCCTAGTGGATTTACATATGAGCGGGCTGTGATCCTTAACCATTTGGAAAAGGTAAAAATCATCTCTCTCTTAATCCTCGTGTCAATTGTTCAAAGCTATTTTTACGTGCCAATTGTTCAGGCTATACTTTGGTTTTATACAAAATAAATCCTCATTTACTGTAATGAGCTAGGTGGGTAAGTTTGATCCAATTACACGCGAACCACTGTTTAAATCCCAGCTGGTGCCGAATTTGGCCATAAAAGAAGCAGTAGGAGCATTTCTGGACCAGCACGGTTGGGCTTACAGGATGGACTAAACGTTGTGCAGTCTGAATTCGGTTGTAATTCTTGTTTGTTGTGCAAAAATGCTAATTGCGTCTCAGAACCCAAGAAAACATTCCCTGTGTACTGTAAAAGTGTAAACCGTAAAGCATGGAATGTAGCTTGATGCAACCCGATTGTATAGTACCGAAAGATCACTATAATTTAATGTCGTTCCATTGGTCTGCTCCAAATTGTACAGGTGATCAGAGCGATGCATGTACAGTGTTGTGTTGCGAATGTCGAGTTTCATGGTGGAAAAATTCAATACTCTGGAGACTGAAAGGCTTTTTTTTTTTTTTAAATTAAAAAATAAAAAGACATGATCATGCTAGCGTTTCTCGACTGTTTAGTTCAAGATATGGTAGGCTCCTATCCCAGTTTTCCCAGTTGTATTATTAAGAATGTACGAGCAATTGACACTACATCGAATTGCCCACCAGAAGAGTTGAATTGATATATCAGCTGAAGCCCCCTTTGGTGCGGCATTTCATGGTAGGATTAGAAATAGAGATGTCTTTCTCTCTTTGGTGCATTTATCATTTCATGGTTGATGCTGGCTGGAGTGTCTGTGATCAAACCAATTATGCAAGACTCGTGTTCCCTCTACATGGGCAGAAAAGTGAAGATATAAAGCTAAATTTGCCCGGGATGTGTTGCGTTTTGAGTTAACATAAGGTCCGCCATTACACATGGTAGACCCTCATTTTCAACAGGATGGGGTTAGGGTGCTAAGAAAATGTCGATGATTGTCTACGTTGTTGACAGATAGATGCCCATGGAGTGGGGCCGGGTACTAAAATGCACTGCACTTCTGCTCATTATAAGCCAATAATAATAATTTGGAGGCTCAACATGGTGCATGCACGCACGGTCTTGAGAATAAAAAATAATTCTCCGTGTTTTACAGTAAACAGGGAAAATTTTGGAAAAAGAAGGTTCATCATTTCGTTTCGAGGGTGATAGTTTTGAGAAATTCACGAATGGAGTGTGCTTACCGTTCACGAATTAGAAGACCTAACAAGATTACTGAATAATGCTAGTAGTATATGATGCATTTTGATGGATGAAATAGGAGTGTATCGGAACGTGCACCATTATATCGATATCTGTAAACCTATATATACGTATGAAAATGTATGTACACATGGGATATGAATACAGGGCCATGTCTGGGTGGATGTCGAAACCTAAGTGCAATCTTAGCCAGTGGCTAGTGGATATAGCAGCACTTTTCTGGCGGAAGAAGAAGCAAATGAAACAAATCAACAACTTGAAAAAGGAAATTCTCATGACCAGTGAGCTTGGCTCAGTGGCCACCAATGGCTGAAGGCAGGCGTTCAGCTCTCACCTGCAGCGAACAAAATTCAAGGATGGTGTTAAAACACCCCTTGGATCTAATAAGATCTATATACCTGGCTTATTATATACCTGCTAACCCCTGACACAAGTTTTTTTAGGCTCTCCCTTTCCTGCAGTTTAGAATAAAATAGATTATATAATTGTTATCGTTTTCGGGAAAAAAAAAAAAAGACAAGGAAATTCTCGTAACCAACATACAAGCAATTTTTTTTTTTTTTAAAAATCACATTGCTTTGTGGCCATCACATCGTGATCGTCTTACCCCGCTCGTTGCAATTTTTTCTTGTTCGGAATGAATTATTTAATGAAGTCATTATGGTATTGATACCTTGGAAAGAGGAGGGGGGATATCATATCACACATTAATATTAGAGTATGTTTGTAGCGAAGCAAGGCTACCAGTAATATTCACCCACCACGGCTACCACTGGTCAATAATTATACCTTTTAACATGTTGGAAATTCCATGCACGCACAAGGTGGTAAAAAAAATGCCAAAAGACTGCTACGTCTACTGCTACCGGTGGCGGGACATGAAGGTCCTGAGATTCCAAGAATCTGATACTTTTGTAATCCGCACGAGAAGCATGCATGCATGCATATATATATATATATATATATATCACAATTCAGAGGTATCTTCACTACTTCCTTCCAGCGCCCCCACCCCACCGCACCGCGCTAAACCACCGGGAAGGTAACTCAGGCATTGGAGGGAAAGGAAAGGATAAGAAGAATAATGATACAGTAAATTTGTTGGATTAATGGTTTTGGCCGGAAGAAATACTAGTGAAACGAACTAGATTTAATATAAATAATTTAATTTTAAAAAAAAATCATTTTTTCTCATCTTCGATTTTTTTCCCCTTTCTCAATTCAAACAAAATTTCAGCATTTCCTCTCTTTTCCTTCCATGTCCCATCCAACCAAAATGAATAGAATTATAGAAACCTCTCTTTTCCTTCCATGTCCTATCCAACCAAAATCAATAGAAACCGTCTTCCACTATCCTCTTAATTCCTTTCCTCCAATCCAAAGAATAACTCAAAGTGCCCATGTTTTGATGGCAATTAAATCCTGTAATTCCCATTTAACTTCAATTCGAAATCATCGCTCTCTCTCTCTCTCTCTCTCTCTGTGCCTTCCCTTTTTGTTCAGTTTTCTGACGAACGCTCAGAAACGGGTCTCAACGCATGGTCGGAGAAGATGAAGTTTTGGACCACCACCGCATTCAATACGGGCACGCTTCTCCCGTTGTAATCCCTTAACTCTAGAAGTCAGAACTGGTAACTATTCATCGAATCATTCCATGATCTTCATAACGCTGTAAGCATTTCACATAGAGAAGAAGGCAAAATCTGGTTTATTAGAACCAACGAAAACTCCAGCACAAATGCACCAATAACAGTTGCAAGTTTGGGGGGAACTCAGTCAATTGCTCAATTCTTTTCTGCAACCAGAACTGCAAGATGATTTATCCACTGACCACTAGCATTCAAAAGGTGTGGGAGATTAGAATATGTTTCGCACAGCGACAATATTTATACCTCTTTATCCACCGGTGGGAAGCGGAGTTTGTTGCCTGCAGACAACTCAAGAAACCAATGCAAGCATTTGCTAATGTTCAAATAATTGAAACAGGGATGCACCTAGGTTAAGCATAAGCATAATTAGGCAATCACCAAAGAAAATCTTATAAACACAAATTGGAGACTTTAAATTGGAGGCGCAGAGAGCTGCGGATTGGACATTTTTAACTAGTAGCAGCACAAAGGGAAGCAGCCTACTAAACAAAGCCATGTGCACTGATTATTGAGCAATATAAAAGACAGAATCTTATACCAAAAGCTCCCTGTTGTAATCATTCACAAAGACTGTACGAATAAATCCATAAACCTCAAGATCAAAACCTTGGTGACGTCACAGAATGTACAATAACGCTAGTTTTGAGGAAAAACCCACAAGCTGCCTGCCTTCAGCAGTATAGTAGCAGTACGGAAGAGAGAAAGGATTGTAGTAGAATTTACAGGGTTTGTGCAGGGTAAGACTGGAGTGGCTGCATCATGCTGTGTGGGTAAGATTGACAGCCCTATTTAGTCTCTCAAGAATGCCACTGGCCTTTCTCTTGGCTCTTGAAGTACCATTTTGAACAAGCTGAGAGATTGTACCATAAGTTCTATCTTCTTCTCTCATCTCCTTCCACTTTGTCCGATCACTGAAACAAATAGTGTAAAGAATAGCGATGCAGTTCTCCTTGTTGCGAGCACATGCGGTCTCTCTCATTATACTAAATAAGCATGGAACAGCTTCAAACTCTACCATTTCCTCCACAGCCTTCTGATTGTTTGAGAGCATGGCAAGGATGGCCAATAACTCATCCACCAGCACTCTATTTGTGATCTTTTTCAGGATCACCTTCACAGCACCATCTCTAACAGCTCTTGCCTTATTCTCATGAAGGATACACAAATTAAAGATTGCTGATGCCACATCTTTCATTGCTATGTTGTGACCTTCATCTAGAAGATCAATCAGGGGTTTCAATGCACCAGATTTTCCTATCAGTGCTTTATTGGAGTCGAGGGCTGACAATGTGAACAGAGCAGCTGCAGCATTGCTCCTTGTTTCTATAGTTCCCGATCGTAAGGCATCCATAAGAAGAGGAATAACCATTGGGGTTTCTGCCACAAGCTTCTTATTGTTGTCATGAATGGAAAGATTCAAAAGGGTTGTGATTATGTCTTCTTGCATGTCAGGGTGAATATCACTTGGAGACTTGCTTTTAGATATGGGAGATAGCAATTGAGGTATCGCGTCAACAGATTCACCAAATAGGGCTCGGAATGAAGGCATCCTTTTGGTCAACAGCCGCAGATCCCTAGCTGATTCCTTTTGATCAGATAATGAAGAAGACATCTTTGAAAGCAAAGAAATGAAACGGTCCCTATCAGCTTCTGTTGGCCCATCATCCTCAGAATACTGCGTGGGGTCTGGCAATTGGATCCCATTGTTCTTGCACCATTGTGATATCATTTCTCTAATCAAGTGATTAGGCGTAAGAATAGTATGCGAAAGTACTTGTTGAGTCCGGGGACATGTCCTATTTCCACCTTTTAACCATTTCTGAATGAAGGGTCTATCATAAGTCTGCAAGATTAGTGGCGAAAGTTTTGAGTAAAATATCACGGGGAAGGGAAACAAAATATCAACCAAAAGGGAAAAAAAATCACCAAATTTAACCCTACTCAAATGAAAAAGATAAAAAATAAACTGCAATACGCCTTTGCTTTCCACACATGTGTCGTATGGATAGTACTCTACTTCACAAGCAGTAGAGGCTTTCGGTCTCATCAATTCCAGAATTGATCTCTGTCTGAAGCCACAATTCTAAACTAGTTTAAGAAAGTCCTGCGAAACCATTTGTGAAGACAACAAAAAATAACCCAAGCTCCGCGTTCTCCCTCACAATTCACTAGTATACCAGTCAACTAAAACCTATTACGCCACCAAAGGCCATTTGGCGTTCTATAGTCCAAATCAAGCACATAAGAGCTTCTATCAGCCCATGGGAAAATTGCTACTTCCATAATCCATTCAAATGATGAGCAATTCATCAAATTTATTCAGCCATGTAACACGCAACCCACATACTAAATTTAGACAAATGCAAGAAAAATAAACACTAAACCAGCACAACCAAACAAAAGAACACGAAAGAAACAAAGTTGCCCTTTTCTTCTCGTCTGCCTTTGTACTTTTGGGCGGTGTCAGAAGACACTTGCCACTTCAAATTCCAGTATCAAGTTTAAATCTCTTCAATCTTTAGAACCCCACAATGTCACTACAGTCGTCCCAATTCGCCAAAACCCACATGGAATTATCCCCAAACAGGAAAAAAAAA